GTGGGGGGAAAAAGGGGGGAGGGAGCGAGGGCTGACTGGGACTTTTTCATTGAAGTACTGCAGACAGTAGTCGGAGTTGGAATTGTTGCGCTGGTCCGGCAGGTGGGTGTGCGCGTGCACGTCTTTCATTTCGCGCGCGCGTCACGCAGTTCAGCAGCTCGCCGCTAATTTGTGGGTCGCCGTTTCTAAAGCTGTGGTGCGTTGACCGCCGATGGTACGTTAGCTTTGTGTGTGTCCGCAGCGTCGGAGTTGCCGAGTCAGCAGAACGGCGACTTGCTGCTGATTGGCCGAGCAGGTTGTGCGGTTTAGTGTCGGTTTGTTGTGGATCTGTTGTTCCAAATCTGGTCCAATCACAAAGAGAGAGACAAAATGGCCTGAAGGGCCACGTGAGGGTCAGGAGCCACAGGTTGTGAACCCCCTCGGCCCCCCCCACTCTGTTCCAGCTAACGAAGTGAAGCGTTAACTTCTCAGAAAGTCTAACCTGGGCCGCGAACGGACAAGGAGTCCATTCAGGGCGTCTTGGTGGGAGAATGGATCCCTTTGTTAGCACCTCCTGTAGAACGACTCAAATGATGAACGTCGCGACGCCTCGACTCACACTGACTGACCGACCGGGTGGTTCTCAGAACGTTCTGGATCCACAGAACCAGAAACTTTAACGTTGTATTAAAGTTGACTCTGTTGGAGGGAGAGAGACTTAGAGACTTACTGGGAGAGAGAGAGAGAGAGAGTTGTGGGGAAACAGTGGACTGCGATTTTTAAAAATTATTATTATAACTATTTTTGTTGTAATTATTGTCCAGGAATGGTTGATGAACAGAAAAAGAAAGGTTTAAAAAAATGTAGCAAAATGTGAAAATAAAAATCCTAAATTGACGGAAAAAGTTCGGAATAAAAATAGTCAAAGTTTTTAGTTCTTACCTGAAGCAACACATGGTTAATGTTATTTTAGGAATAAATAATACTACATATACTTTAAATAGTACTCCATGATTGACTGTGACTATAACTCTACTTTTTTATATTTAATATTATTTATGTTTTTTTATATTTTATTTGTATTTTTGTATGCTTACTGTAGCTTGATTGAAAAACAATAAGAAAATAACATTGAAATAATTTTAGAAAAGAGCGAAAATAAAAATAAAAAAATTAATTAAATATATGTATATAAATATATATGTATGTATTAAATATATGAAAAATAATATTAGGAAAATATAACGTCTTTAAATGATGATCAATAGTTCACGTGTGTATAAGTATATTTTAATATATTTTTTATATATTTTTGTATTTTTGTATGTTTACTGTAGCTTGATTGTTAAAGACAAAAAACAATACAGAAAATAAAAAAATAACATTTAAAAAAAGAGGGAATATAAAAAAAATGTCTTTAAATGATGACAAATAGTTCATGTGTGTATAAATATATTTTTATATATTTTTAAATTTTTTTAATTTTTGGTTGTTCCGGTCGCTCCCCTTATTTTGGACCACACTCCTGTCGTTTTTTGTTTTTTTTTTTGTTGTTTTTTTCTCTGCTCCTCCTGACGTCACAGCTGAACTAAACGAATCCATGTGAGTGAAGGAGGTGCTGGGAGACCCGGTTGTGCTTACCCCGCCCTCACCCCCCTCACCCTCTCACCCTCACCCTCACCCTCACCCCAGCACCGAGGAGCGCAGACTGTCTGCCGAGTCGACTCTGAGGAACATGTGGGATTAATTTAGACCTCCAGCTTCTCCGCCAAGGCCCCGGCTCCGCCCTCTTTACTCATGTTGTTTTGTCATAGTTCTGGGGAGTGGAGCAGGCTGGGGCTGAGGGTGAGGGTGAGGGTGAGGGTGAGGCACAGGAGTGTGGACCGATCCTGGAAGTGTTGGTTATGGTTCTGGAGAAGTGAGACTGAAATGATCCTGCAGTTGAGTGGGGGAGAGTTCAGAGAGGAGGAAGAGGGGGGAGACTCCTGCTCCTTTTGATATTTTAGACACAGAAGGAGGAAGTAACAGATCTAAAAGATAAAAAAGTCTAGAAATAGTTCTCCGTAGAACATGAATAGAAAAGAAAAAATACTTTTTTATGCCATCTATTGGGGAAATGTGGGTATTGCAGGGGAAAGCCAGAAGTATAAAAAATATATATATAAATATATTATATAAATATAATCTAAATAAATTATACAATTTAAAACATTTTACCGGACCGGATTAAAAAAGCCAAACGTGCCACTTCCGGCCCCCGGGCCTTATTTTGCCCGTGCCTGAGTTAGACCGTGAACAGCGTCGGTAGAGACACGCGTGAAGCCCTGTCAAAATAAAAGTCTCAGGAACATTTTCATAGTGTCACCTGACCCCAACCCTCTCTGCTCACTGATAGGCCGAGTTTGACATCGATGACCTTTTAGCTTTGTTTTAATATCAGTCTTGTTGTTTTATTTTCTCCTGGTCCCTAAGTATTTGACTTCTGGTCCAGGACGGTTCGGCGGAGGCCGGAGTCGCAGAGTCGGAGACTAAATGTGATGGTGTGGAAACTGCTGAGCAGGCGCAATTACACCTGGCAACATCAATCACTGTTGATAAAAGTCCAGCAGCGGCAGCGCCCTCTACAGGCCCACGTGTAACTCAGTTCAGACGGGGGTCCTGAAAAAAACAAACAAAAAAAAAAAAACCTCAGCTCAGCTGAAGAAGCTGCTGAGTCGTTGTTGTGTCTGGAGTGGCTGAAAACAAAAGGGGGGAGGGTGGAGGTGAGGAGGGGTGAGAGCAGCTGCCTGTGTGAGCCTGTTGTTTTATGCCATGGATTGAGGTGTCGTGGCAGGTGGAGCGGCTCCGTCTGTTCGGACCGGAAGCCGAATCATCGAATGTCTGAATGTCGTAAATGTTGCGCACAAAAAAAGTTTAGTTTAAAAATATGTATTTTCCGATTAACTTGCAATTTACCGACCTAGAAAACTGGGCCTGTTTAGTTGAACACGAGGCTCATGCGCTCGCAGGAATTGAAGAAAAACATACACACACAAAGGTCTTCTTCAACACTAACTTTTTTATAGCTATCTGCTGCCCCGTGTGGAAGAGTGTTGAATTGTTCTGCCTGCGTTTTTTGAATTAACGAACACAGAGATACATTTTTTTGCAGTAAATGAAGTAAAGTTTTCAGACCGATTAAGTCGGATTTTGAGACTTTCGACGTGAGTCGACCAGTGATTGTGTCGGAGAGGAAGTCTGAAGAAACTAGAAGAAAGTCATGTGATATTTATTGTTTTCTCTGGGGCCTGGTACTAGGTGACCCATGGTGGTACTGAGTGACCCATGGTCCGATCACCCAGGACCTGGTACTGAATGACCCATGGTCTGGTACTGAGTGACCCATGGTCCGGTACTGAGTGGCCCATGGTCTGGTACTGAGGGAACCACAGTCTGGTACTGAATGTCCCATGGTCCGGTACTGAGTGACCTACAGTCAAGTATTGAGTGACACATGGTCTGGTACTCACCCAGGACCTGGTACTGAGTGACCCATGGTCTGGTACTGAGTGACCTATGGTCTGGTACTGAGTGACACATGGTCCGGTACTTAGTGACCCGTGGCAGGGACTGGGATCTGAGGTCTCTCAGCAGAGCCTGGACGTGTGCTCCAGTTCTCTGGACCTGGTCCTGGTCCTTGTCCTTCTCGATCTCTTGTAACTTCAGCGACACAAGAATGACTTTGTTAAAGAACTCGTAAAAAAAACACAAACAAAACACTGCGGTCGTTAAGATGGCTAACGTGCTACATGCTAGCACCATGACAACACAGTGTCTTTAATGAGGTTCACTCCTCATTTATCAAGACTGGGACTGGTCCAAATGTTTTCCTTGTTTCTTGGTGTAAAAGTTCCGGTCCAGTTCACGGATTAGTTTCACGTGAACCGCGTGCAAACGTCGACGTTTCTCTATGTCGATGATGACGTGTTATTTCTGCAGATCAGGTCAATGTGATGAGCGTTAACGTTAGCTTCTGAGGCCAGAGACCTGGGTTCGAATCCGATACGACAATTGTGACACTTGTAGCGGTTGGCGCGCCTGCCTCGGAAGCAGTGAGTAAGTTGTCCTGGGTTCGATTCCCACAGGAGCCACATACTTGGGCGCCCCCAAGTGGCAGCCTGTTGCAATACAAGTGTGAGATCCATAAGGTTTTAATGATTGTTATCCCTGATGTTCCTTTCTCATGAAGGTAGTGTTAACAATAGTTTGTTAAATTAGCCAACTCTTCGCCGCAGAAACAGATGGCTTTAAAAAAGAAAAAAAAAGTCCCAGTTCACGTCGAATCCTTCTGTGAACAGAGTTGGACTTTTGTTTGGATGTCAACATTTGAGGTCCGTCCAGAGTCGTGTCCCTCCGGCAGTGTCCCCTGCTCTGCTGTGTTGCCGTGCCGACGCAGCCACCGTACCACACACACACGCTGCGTTCACCGCTGTGGAACTGTTGTGATTGTGTAAACTGCCGACTCCCAGGAGCCTCTCTGCCTTGTTAGCAACAACACAAGAGCATTTGTGTGCTCTTTTTATACCCCCCGCCCACACACACTCTCACACATCAGTGTTAATATTGCGATGACTCAACGACTGCCTGGACTAGTTTGTCAGATCGACTGAGTGATGATGTCACATTTAAAAAGAGACAAAGTAATTATTCTGCCCCGGGGGAAACGTCGTTAGCGTTGTTAGCGTTGCAGCTACAGCTGAAATGAATAAGCTGTGATGAGAGTCTAGTTTGACTAAAATTTTTTTTACCCTGGATCTTTGTCGTCATTAGTCCCCTGGTTCCTGTCCCTGTCAAACTGGTACCCCCCGCCCGCCACTTGTCACCAGGGGGCGACTGTGAAAACGTCTGTTGTTGCTGTTGGTGTCTGAGGTTAAAAAGGTAAAGAGCTTTCCCCGCAAGTCAAGTCTGAACAGATCGTGGTTGACGCAACACCGGGACAGATGTTCGGTGACGTTCTCCTGTAGAACAGTCGTCCACGTTGTTCTAGACTGTTCTAAGTTCAGTACTTTGTAGGTGCAGTGGTCTGTGTGCGGTGGTCTATGTGCAGTGGTCTGTGTGCAGTGGTCTGTGTGCGGTGGTCTGTGTGCAGTGGTCTGTGTGCGGTGGTCTGTGTGCAGTGGTCTGTGTGCGGTGGTCTGTGTGCAGTGGTCTGTGTGCGGTGGTCTGTGTGCAGTGGTCTGTGTGCAGTGGTCTATGTGCAGTGGTCTGTGTCCAGTGGTCTGTGTGCAGTGGTCTATGTGCAGCGGTGCAGTTACAGTGTTGTATAAGTTAAGGCCTGAAACAGTGAGAAAGTTCTGGAAAGACTGGGTCGTGACTGTTTCTCGGTGTAGTTGTTTTCGGCAGTACTCCGTCACCTGGCCTCCTTTTTACTCCGACTTCAAATACTCTATAATTAGGGTACTGCGAGTATTTATAGATGGAATTAATCTGTCCAAAACACCTAGCTGCTGGTTTCTCTGCCGTCAACTGAAGTGTCTTCAGACGAAACGAAACGCTGGCAGAGAAGAAGAAGAAGAAGAAGAAGAATTCTGGCAATCGCAAAAAACTATTTATACTACTAATAATAATAATTACTTAAAATATAAAAATAAAATTAAAATAAATATAAATAAAAATAATTATTTGAAACAAGAAGTGGAAGAAAAGCTGACCACAGAAAAAAACATTATTTTAGTCACAAACATTTTAAATTATTATTGTTTATGTCATTATTATTATTATTATTATTATTATTATTATTATTATTATTATTATTATTATTATTATTATTATTATTATTATTATTATTATTATTATTATTATTATTATTATTATTATTATTATTATTATTATTATTATTATTATTATTATTATTATTATTATTATTATTATTATTATTATTATTATTTTATTACTGCAGGATTCAAGAACGTGACAAATAAACATCTTGAAGTCCTGGAGATAGTTTTAACCCGAAGAGTTAGCCTGAAGCTAGCTTTCTACGCTTGAACAAAACCATGTGGAGAGCTAGCCAAAGCTAATCCAGAAATAGCTAAACGTTTTGTTTTCTTGTTGTTTTTTTTTTGTTTTTTTTTACAATGACCAGTTTGGAAAAGAGCAGACGCGTTCTGATTGGATGTGTGTGGAAATCAAACGTCGTCGTCGTTGCTGCTCTCCCTCAGTAACAGGAGCTAACACCCGGAGAAGGAGTAAAAATAAATAGTTCTAATAAAAGCCGTCCGTCTTCAGTCTCCGAGCGAGAAATAAATGTATGTCCTGACATGTGACCCCACTGAAGACAGAGGACGCTGTGGGACACGTGTTGTTTTTATTGACAGTGGGAGAGGACGTTAGCTGTTAGCTGTTAGCATGGTGTCTCTGTGTCTGTTACGGTCTGTGGAGTGGACGTTACCGGACGTCACCTTTGGAAATCTTGTTCTGTTTATAGTTTATTATTGCCACTGTTAATCCCACAGAGCTAACGGCAGCAGCTTACAGTATACGTTGGCAGCTGTGACGCCGGCCGTCCTAAATCTGTCCCAGCATGCATTGTTCAAGGCCACATTTATAGACGGAGCTCGACCGCATGACTCCATTCCTTTGATGTTGTCGGTCGGTCGATATAAAAAACAAAAAAAAACAAAAAAAACAACAGCTTTGGAAAGAACGTAGAGCTGTTTGTCTGCGATCTTTGTTTGGTCTCTGTTTTTCATCCGATCGTTCAGTCGTCGGTGTCGCAGCCTTCAGTTTGTTGATGGTACTGCATTAAAAAAAATACTGCTTTTAAAAATCAACTTATTTGTACAGGGATCGTGGTAGTTGCGTTCCAAGACACAGCGCGGAACAGGAAAAATCGCAAAGTAGAGGCGAGATAGTTAATATATTATTTACGCACTGTATATTAACCCTTTACGAACCTCCCCCACACTGTTATCAACCCTCCAGAGTTGTGAGCCAATCAGTGTGAGGAACAGAAGAACATGCTCAATTAGCCAATAGTGTGCTACGTACGATCTCGTCTAAGTAAACAAAGCTACTAGCGATTGTTCGCAAATGAGTTAATCTCAATCTCAAAATGAGAATCCACATTTTTAAAAACTTAAAAAATATATATATATTTTGTCTTTTAGTTTTCTTTAATTTTTTCACGATATAAAGAATATCGCAATAGTTTATTCTTTTGCGATATAGTGAAAATATCGCAAAAGAATAAACTTTCGCGATATTTTCACTATATTGCAAAAGAATAAACTAAATAAATATAGTGAAAATTTCACGAGATCAGATTTAAAAAAAAATCCGCGATGTACTGAGGGAGCGGAAGGAAATTCGCGACAAAGAGACGGAACGCTGTAGCTGTTAAAGTGTGATCGGAGAAAATTACATGATGTTGTTGTTGTTGTTGTTGTAAAAGTACTTTTTTAGCGTGTTCACTGGAAGCAGTCACTGGAGACGGCGCCTCCCTGTGGCGGGTGAAAAACAAATCTTTATTAATTCTCTTAGACAATTGAATTTATTACTAAAGTAGCGTCAGCCCAGAAACCACAAACCACAGGCATTATGGGAAATGAGCTTCTGTGGTCGGTGGTTTGTGTCAGTGAAATGATTCCGGACTCATAAACCAATTAAAAGACAGAGACGTTACAGACCGAGGTACGAGCGAATCTGAATCCAGAAAAGTCATTTATAAACTGTTGGGTATACAGTGGCCCACCTGTGGGCCGTGACCCTGATGTTTGTTTGTTTTTTTTTAATCTTTTTGCTGTTTATTGTTGTTGAGAAGGGATTCAAACACCTGCCCTCACCTCTGCTCTGCTCTGACCCGCACTCTCCCCTGTGTGCCTGTAGGTGTCCCTGGTTGACCAGCGTGGTCTCCCCTGTCGTCCCCCTCTACAATGGCCTCGTCTTCATCTTCGTCCTGGCCAACTTCAGCATGGCGACCTTTATGGACCCCGGTGTCTACCCCCGAGGTTTGTACCATGGGCTGGTGTTGGGTTCAATGCCCAGTGGTGTCGGCAGGGGGCGCTCATACCCCAAAAATGAATAGAAAAAAATAGGCTTTACATGATGAAAATAACGAGGAGGAGGTTCTACTCTGTTACCGATGAGAACCCTGGTTCCTCAGACTCACCCCGCCCCCTGGAGGTGAGGAAAGGCCTTCTGCTCCCTGCTCCCTTGACAGACCGTCCAGGAATTAGTCGTTGTTAATCCGTTAAGTGTTTAATCTGGGACGCGGCCGGGGATCGGAGGGTGTCGTTAAACAAACGTATCTGTGGAGATCAAAGACATCAGAGGAGTTCCTTTTTGGACCAGGGTTCTTCAGGGTCTTCAAGGTCTTCAAGGTCCTTCCAGGACCGAGGACCTCTGGACTGGACCAGTTGAGGAACCCGAACCACAGTGTGATAAAGAACACCATGTTCTAAACGCTCATGCTTTAAACCAGGGTTGTCAAACATAAGGCCCGTGGCCCAAAACCCGGCCCACTTGGGGAGTTAAATCTGGCCCACTTGATGAATTTTGAAATTAAAAAAAAATATATGGATGTTTATATGGTGGCGCTTTGGCCCAGAGGCAATGTCTCTGTCATTGGTGTGGAACCCCAGGGTTCACCTCCTGGGCAAGTTCGAATCCCGGTTAGGGCGGTTGGTACCTTACAGTGGACTCACCCCCTGCAGGAAGGTTTAGGGGGGGTTGGTACGGTGCAATGTGATTTGGGTGGCGACTGCTGCCCCGCGACCCGGTAATGGATAAGCAGATGAAAATGGATGGATGGATGTTTATATGGTACTCGTCCGGCCCCTCTTGACATCTAACCGGGCTGTGTGAGGCCCCCGAACCTGGAGTTTGACACCCTGGTTTAAACACTTCAAACCGTCGAGATGTTAACAATAATAATAATAAAACGTAAAAAAATCACCGTCCTGTGTGAACTCCGTTGACTGTTTCTCGTCTCTTCCCAATCAGCGGACGAAGACGAGGACAAAGAGGACGACTTCCGGGCGCCGCTCTACAAAAACGTGGAGATCAAAGGCATCCAGGTCCGGATGAAGTGGTGCGCCACCTGCCACTTCTACAGGCCGCCCCGGTGTTCGCACTGCAGCGTCTGCGACAACTGTGTGGAGGTGTGTGTGTGTGTGTGTGTTTATGATCGTACAGCTGATTGGTCTACTTCCTGTGATCAAACCCTCTTTGCCCCAACCCCCTCCACCCCCCGTCGCCCCCCCGCAGGACTTCGATCACCACTGCCCCTGGGTGAACAACTGCATCGGTCGCAGGAACTACCGTTACTTCTTCCTGTTCCTGCTGTCCCTCAGCGTCCACATGGTCGGAGTTTTCTCCTTCGGACTCATCTACGTCCTCCACCACCGGGAGAGGCTGGGAACGCTGCACACCACCGTCACGTATCCTTACGGGGAAACAACCTGAGGATCGGTCAGACGGGGCGGGGGCCGGGTCAGGGGCGGGGTCTGATAGATGGAGCGTTTGAGTGATAAATGACAGGTAAAAGTCATGCAAAAAGGCTAAAATGCTAACATGATTTTTATCATTTTCTACGCCATCTATTGGCAAAACGTGGGCATTGCACGTAAAAAATTGGAGAAGTTTAATGATAATGCAAATAAATGATATAATTTTGGAAAACTTTGGCGGGCCGGATTGAGAAGCCGAACGGGCTGCATCAGGCCCCCGGGCCTTAGGTGGCCCGTGCCTTAATGTTAGATACAAATATGTGATGGTGTGGAACTGGAGTGGACTGTGTACTAACAAGTACTAGCAAGTACTGCAATTAACAGGAAGAAGTTGAGTTGTTTTGATGACTGGAGCAGAAACAGACCAAAAGGTCAAAGGTCAAACTATATAACCAATAATAATAATAAATCATTTTAAATCTTTTTTTTTCGATCCCACATTTGAGAAATTCTTGCGTTAACGTCTGACCTGCTGCGACAGACTGCCCACTTGAGGGCGCCAAGCATGTGGTGCCTCTGGGAATCGGACCCAGGACTACCTGTTCGTTGCTTCCGAGGCAGGCATGCTAACCGCTACACCAGTTTCCCAAACGTTTTTTTCTGGGGACCCATATTTTAGAAGTCACAAACCTGCGCGACCCAAATCAATGGACGTTATTCGTAAACTCCTGGGAAACATGATGCAAGACTACCCAAAAAAACAAACTCTTGCGACCCACCTGAGGGCCGCGACCCAGTCTTTGGGAAACAATGCACTACACTGTATCACGACTAAAGGTCATAGACATGTAAAGTTGTGCCCAGTTGTCGTTGTTGTCATGTCCGGTTGTCGTTGACGTTGTTGTCGTGTCCAGTTGTCGTTGACGTTGTTGTCGTGTCCAGTTGTTGTTGCTGTGTCTCGTTGTCGTTGTTGTGTCCAGTTGTTGTCGTCGTCGTCGTCGTCGTCGTCGTTGTTGTGTCCAGTTGTTGTAGTGTCCAGTTGTTGACGTTGTTGTTGTTGTCGTGTCCAGTTGTAGTTGTTGTTGTGTCCAGTTGTCATTGTCATGCCCAGTTGTTGTTGTTGTTGTTGTTGTTGTGGTGTGTCGTGTGTCCAGTTGTTGTTGTCATGTCCAGTTGTTGTCGTTGTTGTCGTCATTGTCGTTGTCATGCCCAGTTGACGTTGTTGTTGTTCTTGTGTCCAGTTGTTGTTGTTGTTGTGTCCAGTTGTCGTTGTCGATGTCATGCCCAGTTGCCGTTGTTGCCTCCCTGACTTCAGTGCGTCCAGTCTGGTGGTGATGTGTATCACTGGGCTGTTCTTCATTCCAGTCGTTGGACTCACTGGTTTCCACATCGTCCTAGTGGCTCGAGGTCGGACGACCAACGAACAGGTGAGTAGAGGGAGAGTGTGTTTGTGTGTGTGTGTAACTCTTCACCTGCTCTGATTGGCTGCTCTCTGCCTCAGGTGACAGGGAAGTTTCGTGGTGGAGTCAATCCCTTCACCAAGGACTGCTGCAGCAACGTGGAGTACGTCCTGTGCGGTCCTTTAGCGCCAAGGTGAGACTGAGAATGTTCCGGAAGAGTTAAAGCAACAAGACCAGATGGTCAGTGGTGGTCAGTCTCTGGCCCGCGGTTCCTGTGTTCAAAAAGTGAAAACCTCCTTAAATCAGACAGGAAGTCGTCGTCGCCCTCTGGTGACACGTCTGTCTCCCCACAGGTATGTACTGGACTCCACGAAAAGACCTCACATCAAAATCCAGCCGCCGTTCATCCGACCGGACCTGAGTGACCGACAGATGACGGTGAAGGTCAGTGACAACGGCCTTCACGGAACCATCGTCAGCTCCAAGGTGAGGCCTGCAGGATTTATATTAAAATTAAATTTTCATTTTTACATATTTTCAATTTCATTTTTACATATTTTCAAATTAAATTTTCATTTTTACATATTTTCAATTTTACATTTTTACATATTTTCATTTTTACATTTTTATATTTTTACATCTTTACATATTTTCATTTTTACATTTTTTCATTTTTTTCATTTCTCTCTTCTAGTCTAAAGTCAGTCTGGACGCCCTGGATGAAAACGGAGCCCAGACGCCGCTGCCGCCCAAAGCCGAGCGGTACAACCAGCTGAGGGGTCAGGTGATGTCCAGTGAAGGTGGGCAAGGCTCAAACACAGAGACACAGAGTTTTGTTTGACGTTCTCGTGGTTTTATTTTTTTATTTTTTATTTTTTTTCTTCTGAGTCACATGGTGTGGGCGGAGGGTCGTGATTGGAGCTCATGAATTTCATTTCAAGTCCCGTTGATCTAACCGATCACAGGCATCAGATTAAATGAGTGGTCTACAGTAGCGGGGTGGTGATGACGTCACGGGCGTCGTGTCCACGTTTACCAGCAGGTTGTCTTCTGTCGAGATCTTGTGCCTTTTTTTTTTTTTTTTTTTTACATGGGAGGCAGCGCTTCATGTAATTTCGTGGAGCAACACTGCCACCCGGAGGCTGTAAGCGGGTACTGCAGTGGGTCTAAACAGACAAACAACCGTTTACACTCAACGTTTAACTGTTGTAAAATTGAATTAACGACGTTTTCGCCGTGTGCTGGTGTGTAGCGTGTTAGCATTCTTTATCTGAGGCTAAAGCTAAGCTAACTAACGGTTATTTCAAAATCTGTGAGGTGAAGAATCTACAGCTGTAGCGTGGATATCAAAACATATCGGCTGCGGAGACCCCTGGTGGTGAGACATGGGAGTTTTCTCAGAGAGATTTAGTTGACGCCAAACATGAATATTCATTAATTAGTTACGTCATAATCAGCGAAACTGCTATCGTACATGTTTGTTTTTTACATTTTACTCCGTGATATCGACCGTCTCTTCCGTGTTTGTCTGTGTTCTAGAGAGTTCCCTTTCTGCCCAGACCCACCCCTCCACTCCGGTTATGTACAAGTTCCGGCCGTCCTTCGGGACCATGCCCAAAGTCCACTACCACACCGCGGGAGAGAAGGTGAGACGGGGGTCTGCTCAGCTTTAATGGGTTAGCAATAGATGCTAAAGCTAGTTTTAAAATCTGGTCTTCTACAGGACAATTGGACCACTTTTCTAATTCAAAATCTCATCTTCACTATTTTCTCGTTCGTCTCAGATCATCCTGGGAAACGATCGGACCACGTCGGCCATTTTGGAAGAAGGTGTTCTGTCTCACGACTACAGGTCGGAGCCCAACCTGGACCTGCCCGAGTACAACGACACGGCCCTGCTTCGCAACTTCCAGTCCTCTCCTTTCCAGTTGGACTCCGACCCCGCCCCGTACAGGCTGGTGGGCCTGCGGCAGGGTCACCGCAGGCCGCAGAAGGGTCAGCTCCACGCCCTGCAGCCGCACACGTCCACCCCGTACAAGGGCGTCTTCTCCCCAAACACCCGCTCCAACCGCAACGGCAGCCTATCGTACGACAGCCTCCTGAACCCGACCGTCTCCCCGGGCGCCGCCAACGAGTGCTCGGTGCACCGCGGCATGTCATCTGTGGGGTTCCATTCCCCGTTCCTCCCCGCCAGAATGTGCCACGTCCGGGAACCCGAGGCGCAGCGCCACCAGGTGTCCCTGGCCTACAGTCCGGTGGTCATACCCAGAGGGCTGGGCAGGCAGTCCCCACGCCCGCAGCACAGAGACCCGTCTCCGGTGCGCTACGATAACCTCTCTCAGACCATCATGGCGTCCATCCAGGAGCGCAAAGAAATCGAGGCGAGGGAGAAGCAGCAGGTCCTGCGGGGGCGCTCTCAGCCCCACATATGCGCCCAGGACTCTGGCGTGTTCGACACGGGCTACGCGTTGACTCACAACGCCTGCTACCCGGACGGGCCCCGAGGCCCCGGCTCCGTGGGCCCGGTGTCCTGTGGTGGATCCCGGGAGAACTTGATGGGGACGGGCGTGATCGGCTACGGCCAGCGGACTCCCGTGTTACGCCACTCGGGCTCCACGCTGGGCCGCGCCCCCAGGACTTCAAGCACCTCCCTGCACACTGAGCACAGTAGCACCAACAGCAGTCAGAGCAGGCACACGGGCCCCGAGGGGCCGTACCAGTCCCCGGTCCACCAGCCCCACTCCCCGGCCACGCCCCGCTCTCCTTCGTACTCCCACCACAAGTTCTCCCACGTCGGCGTCCCGGAGAGGACGGAGTCGCCCCGTATGGGTTCCAGGTACGAGTCCTGACCTTAGCCCTGTGATACTGCATACCCTGAGAGCACAGCTCCCTCTGCTGGACAAACACAGATAATAATCAACACAATCGAAGTTAAATTAAATTAAACAGTTACTTTTTATTGTAAAGATGTTTTAAAATATGAATACGTTTCACCACCTGGTGTCACTGTCCCCCCCCACATGTTAAACCATGTCTTCTTCATCTCTCTGTCATTCAGGGACAACGTGAAAGTTAACGGACAGATGGACTACAGCCCCGGCCCCCAGGGCGCCCCCCTCAGCCCTGGTCGCTACAGTAATGTCCGAAAGGTCACGGGGGTCGGAGGAACCACCTACGAGATCTCTGTGTGAGTGGGAACGACCCCTGACCTCTGACAGAGACCAGGAGAACCAGGAGGACACTTATGTGATGATCCAAACAGGACTGGACAAACAAACAGACACAGACTGTCCTCTGTTACTTTGTGTCTTCAGTGTGATACAGTGGTGTGGACGCGGTGGACGTGACGACTTTGGACTGTCCACTCCTGCCTGTCTGTGCCAAAAGTCTCGCTTCCTAAGGGACAAAATGTCCCGTGGGTGTGTGTTTGTTTCACCGTATGTCCTAACATGAGGGTATTGGACTGAGGGACAGGTCTGTCCACTCTGGACTGTTCTCTCCTCTGTGGACTGTCCACTTTGGACTGTCCACTCTGGACTGTCCCCCGTGGACTGTCCACTCTGGACTGTCCTCTCTGGACTGTCCTCTGTGGGTTCTGGTTCTGATCTAAGACCAGCAGGACTGAGGGGACGTTCTGGACAGGTGTGAGGTTAGAGGTTTTTTTGTGGAAAACATTTAATGTTGTTGACGGTGAGTCTGGTTCTACAGTAGATCAGAAGACTTCAGTTTGAAGGGGGGGTCAGGGGGTCAGTGGCGGGGGGGGGAGGGGGGGGCGGGGGGGTCAGATATACACACCGTCTGTTTGTGTTTGTGGGGACATTGATGAGGAGTTACTGCAGGATCAGTAGTTGAAGGGGATGAGATGATGATGATGATGGTGATGATGATGAAGATGGTGATGATGATGATGATGATGATGATGATGATGATGAAATTGAAGAAATGGTTCTAACAAAAAACTATAAATTAGAGAGAGGGTGAGAGAACCAGGTGACGTGGGATTTCTGTAATTTTTTTTTTTCAATGAAACACAGAGTATTACTTCGTACACAGTGCCTTCATGTCTGGACAGGGGGCGCTCTAACCCTTTGGACTTGTGGTTTAAAAATAGAGAGCGCAGTCTTGGAGGCGTCAGACCGGCCAATCAGGCGTCTCCGACATCGTCCTGTAGTCCGGTCAGGGTCTTTTCTGGATCTGGATCAGGACCCAGATTTCTCAAGAACTTTATTTTCCTTTCCTAAAAAAAAAAAAAAAATTATTGAAGGTCAAAGGTCACGACCTCCAGTCTAAAGAACGCACTTTTTAAAGAAAGAAAAAAAAAGAGGTTCTGATCAGGTGACTTTTCTGTCGCGGCCACGGGCGACCGTGTAGACGGACTGAAAATATAAGAGACATATATGAGAAATATATATATATATATTTATACTATATTACAGATAGAAATAATATTAGACATTTAAAAAAAAATGAAGATAATGATTTAAAAGTTCAGAGTGAAGTCCATGAAGTCGGACTGGACTTTTTCATGGACGTTCTTTCCGCCCCTCTCTCTTCCTCACCCTTTTCCTCTCCCCCTCCAGCTACAGTATTAGTGATCCACTGCACCACTGTTCGGCCACCGCTCTCTCTCTCCGTAACAGTTAGATCTGCGGAACCGTTTCAAGACCGAGGCACAGTTTCAACTCTTACGTTTACTACGATATGCAAATGAGTCAGCGCTAGGCTAGCTAACGTCCCCCGCACCGGAATGTTTTTCTTATCCGTAACGATGGGAATCAAACGTGAACTTTGACAGTTGTCATCGGGAGAAGTCTCGCCCTTCACTGTGACAGAAAGGTTGACCTCCACAAACGGGAGGGGACGGGGGTTCAATCTCCGCTCCTGGATGTTAACCAAACTCGTGGTTTTCACCTCCTGGCGACTCTTGGAGGTTCAACTCCACTGCCTTACTTCACTGTGTTTATTCTAACGCCAGATTTTCAACGGTGTGTTTGTCTAGTATTTATATGTATATATGAAAAATAATTTCTGTTCTAATATTTTTTGGTTGTTTTTTTTGTTTTTTGTTTATTTTTGACAAATATCTGTTGATCAGGAGTGAAGCAGCAGAAAAAACCAAAACCATAAAAACCTTACAGTACTGCAGCCGTTCTGGACGGGGGACCGTCCTCGGTTGGACATTGCTGCGGGTCAGGGACCGTTTCCTGACGGCAGTCGTTCTGACACTAACGGAGATTTTCCCCCCTGAAACCTATGAATGTGTTGTCGGTGAGAGTCGGTAAATTATATCTGTACGTGTACAACGATGGCTGTGGAAGGAGGCGAACTGGAGAAGAATCAATAAAGATTTGATCTCCATTGTCAGCATGTGATTTGGGGGGAGGGGTGGAAGATAAAGGGGGTGGTGGGAGCAGATCGCAGCAGTCATCAGGTGAAGGCTGGGGTAAAAGAAAAATCAAAATATTAACCTTTTTGCGTGTTTCTCATCAAATAGAGTATTTTTGAAAGAAAAAGAAATTCCGGAATTTGTAAAAAAAAAGTAACAATTCTTTTTGTCAGATGTTTTATGGAAAATTATGATGAATTCTTTTGAAAGAAAAATCTAAATCTTTTCTGCACATTTCTCATGAAATTAGAGCGTTTCAAATTTTTTTATTTTTTCATATGTTTTTTCCAGAATTGAAAAAAAAATCTAAAAAAAAAAACTTGTTTATGTTTTCTGTATGGTTCTCACCAAAATATAGTGTTTGTTAAAAACAATTTAAGAAAAAAACATTTAAAGAAGAAAAATGTTTTTGATTTTCTTTGGCAAAACCCTATTTTTAAAAAAAAAATTTTACTTAGAAAAATCTAAGTTAGCATGTCACTTTCGTCAGATGTTGAAAAATTATGATAAAAAATTTTGTAAAAAACAAAATCAGAATTCATCTTTTCTGCTTGTTTCTCATGAAATTTTCCAGATTTATTTTTATGGAATTTTTCAAAGAAAAAAAAAAGTTGAAAAATGTTGATGATATTGTTTGGAATTTCTTTTTCAAAATGTAACGTTTTCTGCAAGTTTTCTGAGAAATTTAAGGAAAAACTTTTTTTTCTTTTTTCCCCTAATTTTTGGTCAGATGTTGAAAATATTTGATGGATTTTTTGAAAAATCAAAATGTATCTTTTCTGCGTGTTTCTGTATTTTCCGGAATTTGAAAAAAAAATCTAAAAAAAAGAAAGATCTAATTTAGCACGTTTACGTTTTTTGTTTGTTTCTCACCAAAATATAGTTTGTTAAAACATTTGAGAAAAAAAATCTTAAGGAAAAAAAATTTAAGAAAAAAAAGTTTTTGAATTCTTTCGGCAAAACCCTAATTTTTGTTCAGCTGTTAAAACATATTGATTAACATATTTGTTAATCAATGTTGGCAACGAGGATCTTTGAGAGATGTTGTAATTGGATCGCTCATCTGTCAATCAAGAAAAAGCCGGCGCGGGGAGGAGGGGCTTGATGAGCCGGTGCAGGGTTTTGTTTTTTTTTTTTAGCAAGATGGCGGGGCTCCTCGTCGTCCCTCGTGGCGGTACATCTAAAATTAAGTAAATTAGACGGTAGCTAGGTTCCCAGTGAGCGACAACCTCGGGACATTTATCGGCAAGTATTGATATAATACACTGTATGGTTGAATTTAACCCAAGTTGCCCGCGTCCGCCGACGTCTCCGTTCATGCGGCGTTAGCTCGCTTGCTATCATTTAGGAAAGAACGTTAACGGCCGCTGCAGTCACGGCAGCTGCGCTACGAATAGTCTCTAATAGTATTTTAACATATAACATCTGTATTTAGACGCCGACAGAGACCCGCCGTGTCACTACGAGGCTAACTAGTCGTGAAGTGACCGAGCCTTCTCTCCAGCCTCCAGAAGACCGACCCCACCCCCCACATCCCCCAGTGGAGAGTGATTAGAGCCTGGTTCTCATTCTTAAGCTGAATTCATTGTGATTTCCAATAATTGAGACAGTGATTCTGAAAAGCTGTCTACATTAATGAAAAGAACAATGTAGTCAGCTTAGCGTATTCTCGACTGGTACGAGGTGTAACCCCCGGGGGAAACTGCTACTGCGCTAGCCTCCGCTAATCTAACACAACACGTTAGCCAGTGTATGTTTTAGGGTTTGTTTGTTTGTTTGTTTTTTAACGTTGAGGAAATGGAGGTAGACGAGCTTCTTCCCCCTCTTCCCTTGGAGCCACCTCGTGATTTTGGCCACGATGAGGAGAGGGCACCTCCACCACCTCCCCTGCAAACGTCCAGTGACGCAGAGGTAATGGACGTTAGCTCTGGTGGTGATGGATACACGTACACCCCAGGGAATGGGGAAGCCAAGCCGCCGCCGCAGCAGTCCCAGTCCCTTGGCAACGCCTCAACGCTCACTTTCTGTAGCCACTTCGCAGACGAGGCTAGTCCCGGCGCGCGTTGCCCACGAACAGCGCGACACGCTCCGCCGGTCACCAACTTCCTGCCGGATCACAAGCTCCTCAGAGACGTGAAGATCAGCGTGAGCTTCACGGAGAGCAACCACAGCAAAGACAGGAGGGTTCAGTACACGGGTGATGCTCAAGAGGGAGGTCGCGACCCCGGCCCGCACCACCTGAACGGTGGCACGCATGACTCCAGGGGTGAGGAGGAGGAGGAGGAGGAGGAAATGATGGGTGAGGGTAGTTCCGGTGCGGAAACTGTACCACGGCCGCCCCGGTCGGAGGAGGCCGTGGAGGCAGAGCAGGAAAACAAAGTAGAGTTTACTGTTCTGGACGAGTTTAATTTCAACTTCCTGGATCACGAGGACGGGGATCACGACAGCTTTACGTCCAAAGTCATAGTCCAGCAGGCGCACACAGACGAGGAGGCGGTGTCGTACTCCTACGAGGTATGTCCATGTCCTCCAGTTGTGTCACCCGTCCGTCCGTCTGTCCGTACGACACCTGTCACTCACATCGATCACCTGTCAGAGTGAGGACTCAACCATCACAACATTGGTTCCATGTTCCGTAGTGATGTGCCGTTCGCGAGTGATTTGTTGGATATGAAAGATTCGTTCATATTGAACGAATCGCTCTCAGCGAATCCAGGTTCAAAGATTTGTTCAAAGATCGGTCTCACAGATTCGTTCTCTCAGATTCGTTCAAAGATTAGTGCAAAGATTCGTTTTTGCAGATTCGTGCAAAGATTTGTTCAAAGATTCATTCTCGCAGATTTGTTCTTGCAGATTCGCTCAAAGATACATTCTCTCAGATTCGTTCAAAGATTCGTGCAAAGATTCGTTTTTGCAGATTCGTGCAAAGATTCGTTTTTGCAGATTCGTGCAAAGATTCATTCAAAGATTTGTTATTGCAGATTCGTTCAAAGATTCGCTTTTGCACTTTCGTTTTCGCAGATTCGTTCAAAGATTCATTCTCTCAGATTTGTTCAAAGATTCGTTTTTGCAGATTCGCTCAAAGATACATTCTCAGATTCGTTTTCGCAGATTCATGCAAAGATTTGTTCAAAGATTTGTTCTCATAGATTTGTTCAAAAATTAATTCTCTCAGATTCGTTCTCGCAGATTTGTTCAAAGATTCGCTTTTGCAAATTAGTTTCATTTGTCTGCTGTAAAATGAATGAAATGATTCGTTCATTTTACCGTTCGGGAGTCAGAGATCCAAATCAGTACAAATAGTCAATCTTCCCTACA